TTTGTATTTCCTTCTCAACTAGACCCACCGTCACCTGTTCCTCTTTCAGTCTTGCCTACTTAGTAAATGACCCCACTGTTCACCATCTCTGAAGTCTAAATCTAGAAGTCATCCTTACCTGCTCTTTTCTTTACAATTTACATTTCATGTGTCAGAACATCTTGCTAGTGCTACCTTCAGAACACATTCTGAATTAGACATTTCTTGCTGTTCTCACTGCTCCCACTCTTAAGTCTGAACTGCGATTCGCTCCAGTCTGTGTGATTGCACTGCCTCCTCCCTGGTCTGTCTTATAGCGCTTCTCCTGCTCTCCTCTAGAGAGATGATTTCACATCGTGATTAGGCTTCTTCCCTCGCAACCCCTACCAACTGGCTTCCCAGTGCATCTAGAATAAGTTCCAGGTTCCTGGTGGTGGCCTACACCATCCGACATTTTGCCATACTTTCTGAGCTCATTTCCTTCAATTCTTGCTTTGCTCATCCTACTGTGGCCATGGCGCATCTGCCCTTCTCTCTAATGCTCCAAGCTTGCCTCCGTACCTAGAATGTGCTCACATGCATTAGTTTCTATTTCTGTCATCTCAAATGTTACCTAGTCACTGAAGGCTTTTCTAATCTAAAATCGACTCCCTGCCCTTTGCTTTCTGTTCTTTTAACCTGCTTTTCTTTTCCCTCCTTGTACTAACTCCTTCCTAGCCTGTATTACATATTTGTTTGTCTGACAGTCTCCCCCATCAGTAAGCTCCAGAAAAACACAGCCTCTTGTGTCTTGTTCACCTCTAACCCACTCCCTATGAACACTCAATAAATGTACAAAAAACGGATGTAGAGATGGGGTGAGGTTTATAACATTAGCTCAAGCTTAGAATATAGGCAATGTCCAGTATAATAAGTACATAAATACAATCTCTCTAGTACCATCATTTGCTTTTTAAAGATCCATTTCATTTTGAACTTAATTATTTTATTGCTGGAAGACTGCCAAGTCACTGGCATTCATTTATATCCCTGGTCCAGTGGACCTCACCTTCTTTACCACCAACCATGAGACAGGATAAGCATGCTCCTGAAAGTGGGAGATTTGGATTTCACCTACCTTTTATCTCCTATTGTGACCTCTTCTCAAGTATTGCTCTTAGTTTGATTCAATGATTATTGGGATTTGGAAGAGGAAATTGTTGTTGTTAGTTGCTGTGAAGTTGGCTCCAGTTCATAGCAGCCTTACATATAACAACATAAAATGTTACCGAGTCCCGCACCATCCTCGTGATTTTGATATGTTTGAATCTGTTGTTGTAGATATTATGCCAGTCCATCTCACTGAGGCTTCCCTCATTTTCATTGATCCTCTACTTTACCAAACACAGTGTCATTTTCTAATGAACTGTCTTTCATTTAATTGAACCAGTCTTTGTCCATATGTAAAGGAAGGTAATATGAAGGAAATAAAAATGACTATGTTAAGATATAAGATTATGGGTAAATTTTTGGGTTTTCTCTAATAGCATGTGTTTTCAATAGTAATAGTTTTTAACAGTTATAAGAATACATCCATCACCTTACCTTCTTCCCATTATTTTTCCCACCTGTACGTGCAGTCCATTTGAGTTTTACTCATGTGACCCCATGTAAGAGAAGAGCTGCTCCTAGGGTTTTCAGAGTTGTAATATTTACTAGAGCCAGCTCTTGAATGGGAGAATATGCGCATTGTTTTTCATTCATAGACTGTGGTGGGAACTTTCCCATCCTTGTAACATAAACTATACTTTGATAACATGTAAAAGACATTTTTTGGATGGGGCAGGGTTATTATTATATTTTTTACCACAGAGCAACTGGGTGGATTTGAATTGCCAGCCTTTTGGTTTGTAGCTGAGCACTTAACCAATAAGCTATCAGGACCCCATTCTTACTTCCTAGCATTACCAACTGTTTTTGAGTGGAATATATTGATTTCCAATAAGATCGTTTATATAAGGAAAGCATGGGAGGGAATGAGGCTAGATTATGGAGCACAACGCATCAATAGTTGATAGAGATAGAGGGCCTGCGTAGGAAATTGGCATGATGTTTTTAATTATGATGATGAAAATACACTTAACAAAGCATAGGCCGTCTCAACAATGCTCCATGTACAGTTCAGTAACATTGATTACATTCTTCAAGTCGTGCAACATTTTTGCTCTTCTTTTACAAATCATTCCACCATTAATATAGCCCCAGTGCCCCCTAAGCAAAAACTCTTCTTGCTCCCATCCCTGACACCCCTTCTCAACAAACAAACAAAACCAAAAAACTGCTGTCATGTCAATTCCAAGTCATAGTGACCCTAAAGGACAGAGTAGAGCTGTCCCATAGCATTTCCAAGGCTGTAAGCACTTGACCTCAAGGTTGGTTTGAACTCCAAGGTCGGTTGTTCAAACTCACCACCTGTTCCTCTGAAACCTTATACAGGGTTGCTGAGTAGGAACCAACTTGACAGCACTTAACAACCATTTCTTAGTTTTTGATTTTGTTCCATTACTTTGTTTCTATCCCTCTAACACTACTATCACAGTGTATTGGTTACCATAGATACATGGTGGCAGGGTGGTGGCTGTGTGCTGTTGAGTCGGTTCCAGCTCATAGCAACACTGTATAGCGTTTCTGAAGCTGTAAATCTTTATGGGAAAA